GGGGGTTGGGAAGGAAGAGATAAACTCCAGTTGTAAGTCATAAAAAACTAAATGTATGTTATGCTTCTTTGAGTCAATAATAATTTTTGTGTGTGGTTGGTTCATAGTTTTAAACGGCTGTAACAACAACTTAACAGATCATAGATGCCACTTCTTGTATTTGTATTTATTTTGTACTCAAATGCTACAAGAAAAATATTTCAATTTATACTTAATTACAATGATTTCCCTCTTTCTTCAGTAAAATTCTAATATATTTCCCCCCAATTTTCCAAATCTTTTATTCAGCAAGTGAAGCTTGCTTAGCATTATTGCACAATTTGGCAATAACATTAAAAAAGAATAATTATTCAATACCATTATTAAAAACTTAAAGTAATATACTTTTTTAAAAAAATAGTAAAGAAATAGTAAATGCAACCAATATCATGGTCCTTGTTTTAACATCACATACAGTAGATCAATACTTGATGATCTATTAAATGCTCTATTTTGTCACGATAACACAATTTGATAGTGAGTTGTACTTTTTCCAGTTTAATTGGAATTAGATTAATTTTTAAATTTTCATTTAAGTCTTATTAATAGTATTTTTAAAATTATCCTTCGAGTACTTTATACATGAGGACCTGACTCTGGAGAATTAGGCAACCACTCTCCACGTTTTAGAAGTGAAGTAATTTACTTTTACTTAGTATATTTTTCTGGCAGCTAACATCGAACATTTTGCCATCGTTGGGCTACACTATATATACAATATATACACCATTCAACCAAACCCAAATGTAGGGCCTGCCATTTTTATGTCCAAAATCATTTTAAGTAAAAAAAAATTAAAATATCTATAGTAAATATTACTTTAGGAAGATATAAAAATTTGGAATGAACAACAAATGACTAGTTTTTTCTTAGAATGCTAGACTAGTGTTTTCGTTGTATTCCAAATTTCCTTGTTTCATTTATATTTTTGACTTATTATCAAACCTACTGGCTGTAAATCTGTCCTTTTGAATGACAGTCAGTTTGACCTAAAATACACTACAAAGTTTCAATTAAGGGCGAGCAGCTATATCAAACTAGGTCCACTTTCAATCTGTGTGTTAGCTGTGATATTACTTATATCAACCCAGAGTTTGTTGCCGTTTGATCTGTAAGTTAAATGTAACCTGACTTAGATTAGACCAGAGGTTGTTTCAGGGTCTGATCTTAGATCAGCCCAGAGGTTGTTTCAGGGTTCAATCTGTGAGTTAGCCATGCCCTGACTTAGATCAGCCCAGAGGTTGTTTCAGGGTTCAATCNGATCATCCCAGAGGTTGTTTCAGGGTTCGATCTATGACTTACTTAGATTAGCCCAGTCTTTCAATGTTCAATGTTGGAGTTAGCTGTAATATATATTGTAGTAATATATAATTATAGCCCAGAGGTTTTTTTAAGGTTGATTATGTGAGTTAGTTAGGCCCTGTTTTAGATCAGCCCAAAGGTCATTTTGGGCTTAGATAAATTTGAAGGTTTTAGCTTAAACTTCCTCAACATCTCGGCAACAGGGGGAGCCTGATCTTTTCTCAAGCATATCATCTTCCATCTGCCACAGARAATCTCTGACTTGATCAAGAAAATTCCTGAAGCTGTGATTGTCACCGAAGTCCCTCTCCATTCGTTGACCATCCCAATGAGCGTGATGTTCATCACCTCGTGATCTAAATGGCCCATAGGCGTAAACCTGTAAGATGTACTGCGCGACATAATGGCGAAGGACAATATAGTGGGTTAGAAAGTTATCTGTTCTTCCACTTTCCTTGAATTCTCTGAATAGGCTTGGGTTTTCAAGAAGCTGCTTTTGATGATCAGTTAAAGCAAGCTTCATAGAATCAAGCTCAGCTTTTAGCGTGTCTAGAATCAAACATTGATCAGCATTAATATCCACTGTTCTATCAGGATCTATGTACAGTACAACCACATTATAGCAATACTTCATGTGACATTGGCCTTTTTAAGTTATTCATATGCCAACCACAGATGGATTGGCTACCGGGGGGGGGGAGGGGGGGTTATTCGCCAGAATTTGGGTAGGGCTGTTCCGCTGAGATTCTGAAAGGGGTACCCTGTTTATGACAAAAAATCTCAAATTTGTAGACCCTGTTTATGACAAAAGATATAAGTTTATTGCACTGAATTCCTGTTTCAATTATCATGTCATCTCGCATATCGTTTTTTTATGACCATAATAACCAGTTTCGGTCAATACGAAAGTAGAAGACCTGAATATGACAGGAARCTCAGGAAGAACTTGGAACTTGAGTGAAATTGCATACCCCGTTTATGACAAGAAGCTCGAAAAACCATACCCTGTTCAGCAGATCATCCCTGTATAGTCCATATATGGGAGTCCCCCCCTGGGATTGGCTAGTGACACGAAGCAACTTGTGATGAGTTTTAGTGAAAAATATGGTTGACATTCATTTTAAAACTTGGTTTTAAGTTTTCACTCCACCAAAATTGCTGAGTCAGTGATTACTGACTACTGATTACTGAGTGATTTTTGTTAACCACAATTCCTTCCGAACAATAGTAGCACCACTAACATTTTGAGGAGCAAAGAAAATGTACTATTTATAAGAGGCAGCATGGTTGAGTGTTCATAGCGTCAGTCTCGCAATCCGGTGGTCACTGTGGCCACTAGCTGGGACTGAATTCGTCCTGATTCCTGGTTCAGATTAAGTTTCACGACCATGCTTGTAAATAGTCAACTGGTTTGCCTCCTTGCCAGTTGGGATTCTTAACACACTTTATGTTTATTTGATCATTCATTTCAGTTTATTAATTGTAGGAGGGCCATAATGGAAACTGCTAGGCTACCAGTAATGTATGTCACCCTCGTTAAATAAAGTCAATTTATTTATTTTATTTGTACTCACCAACATTAACATTTTTGAATACAGTAGTATTTTCTAAGTATTCTGCACCCCCAGTTCCAATATAGTCTAATGCAGGATCCCCTGAACAGGAAGAAAGAAAGGAATATTAATTGCATCTGATGTAACGAGCAAAAGCTTAGAACAATAAGTTAAATAAATAAAAATGGGAGTTAACAATATATTCATGGTTCCACTCCCCATTTGTTACCTTTATTATGTCCCACAAGCTCAATAAATAAGCTAGAATTTCTCAGAATTTGCAACTGTGCTCCTGGAAAATTGTTCATAAATTGTTTCTATTGTTTACAGTCCTTTGAAAGTAAATGATATTTGCCTCGTAATCCTTGTCAGTAGTACTCTTTAAAACAGGTACTGTGTAGTTGTTTTGGGCCAAGATTTTAATTCCATTGGGATAACTGCTGCAATGGTGATCCCTTCACAATTGTCTGAGGTGAAACCATGAATAGATGTCCATTTCAACACCCAATGCATTAAAAGGTTTTCCATCCACAGTATAGTTAAGGACTGAATGTCGAATAAATGAGCAAAATTATTGTCTGATTGAGAAACAAACAAGTGTCTAAAAGATTTTCTTGCTAGAGCTAAAATCTCATAAAGAGACCAAGTTGGTTTTTGAACACAAGCATAGCAGATAGGCAGAGAAAAACGGGGTCAAGTTGGCATTACAATGCATTGTGGGGCTGTTTGAGGGGACAAAATAGATGCCGTCTTGGAAATATGATCCTTAATTAAGTAACCTAACATATTTATCCCAAGATGGTGGCTATTTCATCCCCTAAAACAGCCCCAAAATACACCACAATGACCCAGTTTTTCCCCTCAACCTCAGAACAGTAAATCGAATGCCTATTTTATGGCTTGGATTGTTCGACTTATAGCCAAGAAATAAATTAATACATACCATATTGTAGACACCTCTTGACCAGCTTCTTCATCCATTTCCATTGCTTCTTGTGGTAACCCAGCTCGTAGCATACTCTTAGTACGAATATTGGTAACAGTCTTGGTGAAGCCAGAAACTACAATAGAGAAAAAATGCTTGCCAAACTGATTTTTGGTAACATCATTTCACCCTCATCAGAGTTTAAAATCTGCACAAGCAAACTTACTATGTGCAGTTTCTTAATATAATTGCAGTTTTAAAATTTCCTTTCGCTTTGATTGTGCTTCCATGACAAACGGTTTTCACTTGCAATTTCATGCATGAACTGCTTCTGACTTCGACTCCAAATTTGCTTCTGTAGCAAGTGAAAACTAGTTTTTATGAATGCTTCTTTTTGTGGTTCCAATCAGTGGGGTCGGTGTCCACTGGTAGAATGAAGCTTGGGATTGGACAAAATAATAAAAACAAAGAAAGTATGGATTATGGTGACAATGTGTATTGTTCTACATGTGAGCTTTGTTTTATATCACCATTCATTGTTTGTTCATCCACTCCCAGGCTTCGTTCTGCCGGTTGTGGATTACCCAATCAGTGACCAAAAATAAAAGTTCTAAAGTCAAGGTTGGAGTTTCTGCTCATAGCAAAACTATAGTTTATCATGTGCAGCAACTCAAATTTCAACTTGGAACTATTATTTGTGTTCTTTGAATGGAATTACGTAAAAAAGAGACTAATAAAACATTCTCTGTCAGCAGGGGAGCCTTATCAAACATATCAACTGTTGGAAAAACTAAAACGTAAACTACATAAACCACAACACAATCATTTTCTGTCATCTCATGACTTACTTCATCAACTGTTCCAAATATTGCTTGGGCTAATAAGATACAGAGGGTCCTTGTGTATCCAATCCTCTTTAACATCTGAGAACAGGACATCCAATGTGCTGTCTGCGATACCCGTGGGGGTATTTTAGCTGTTGATCAACAATATTTGATTGAATATAGAGTGACCACAGTAAATCCGTGAAACACTAGTTACTAAATAGTACAAAATAGTGCCAATTAAACAATAGAAAACAATGGAATTTGCATGAAATTGTGCTATTTAGTATTACTAAAGTTTCACAGTTATATCGTTTGCACTCTGTAAGAAAGTAAACAAGTTTGAACATGTACCGCACCCTGTGCTAAACTTTTTGGTGTGCATATTACTGGGCACTTGATTTACATATCAAAATGATTTCTCCTCACAACAGCTGACGACATGAATTGCTTCATGTAAATTGGCCATGCAACTTACAGTGTACTCACAATCGTAATTAATGGTAGTTAAAACTTGGTGTAAAAGCTAAAACTGGATTGAAGCTGCAGAGCACTTAAGAAGTCAAAAAAACACTCGCCTAGGTCTCTAGTAGTCCAGACGCTGTATCCTCTCCTTTGCTGCTCAGCTTTTGTTTTTGTGTAAGCCCAAAAGCGGAGCGGCAAAGGAGAGGGTACATCGTCTGGACTAGGCCTCTAGTTTCTCTAAGACTTCTCTCTTGCTATACAGCACACAGCATAAGCTGTTTTATATACAGTCCTTTGACAAAACGTTTTCGTTTGATCGGTTTTATCCCTATTCGCCTAGACCGAACAGGATCATGGGGATAATTAATTCACAGTTACTAGCTGCCTCATGTTATCTAACACATCTTGAGCTCGCTGTCTTCGATCCGATTTAATTTGCTAAAATCATGCCTCGAGCATACGGCGAAGATTTAAACTGGCGAGCAGTTTGGATGACGCAAGTTCTGGGTAATTTACYYGTTATCCTTTTCGGTCTAGGCGTGTAGGGATGATCCGATCAACGACAACGTTTAGTCAAAGGACTGTATTTCCTATTATATACACATACTTACGTTCAAACATATGACTCAGTGCCTGCATAAAGGAAAACACCACAGCCCATATCACAGGGTTGTAATACCAATTCACAAGCTCAAAGATCTTGTAGTACTGAATATGGCCATCAGAGTGATTAGTGTGTTTCCAGCAGGCAGTACAGGGATAGTTTTTCAATGAGTTCTTGATAGAAACTTGGAAAAATATGTTGGCCAGGAGATAGAGAATGAATAATGGAACAATCATAAATATCTAGAAATGAGAAAATGTTATTGTCAGCAGCTTTATTGAACTAGCGAAAATGAATAGTAGACCTCTTGGCTCTTTCTTGGTTTTGCAGGATGTATTGTATTCTGGGTTTTTGTATTGCAGGGTATTGCTTAGCTCCAAACTCATTGTTATCGGCTATTGTTTTATTGTCTTCATGGCTCAGGTGCCCTGCAACACCAAGAAAGAGCCGACCTTTTCCAAATAGCAGTTATTATGGATGGATGCATGCAAATGAGATGGAAATGAGACAACAAGCATTGCATCAACCTTATAGCCTCACTTGTATGGTTCGTAAAACAAAAGAATTTCTCATTACAGGCTCGACTGTAATAACAGCTGCTATTCATTTGAGTGACCATGAAACAATATTGCTCCAAGTCGAGTTTGGACTCGATGTGTTAAAATAATTGTTGGATGATTTATATCCAATGATAATGACTCTAGTTCCAGAAGTTTTTTAGAGCCCCCTGTACCCCAGAAATTCCACTTCTCTTCTATACAAACCCTGTAAGTTTGTTCTTTCTCTGCCCCCCCCCCCCCCCCCCCTGCCCCCACCTCCCAACCTCTCTAGAAATTTCAAGCTCCTCTGTGGGGAAGGGGGGGGGGGGGTGGTTATAGATAATTTTTAGAATTAAACAATTTCTAAACTTTTCGTTATCTTATTTCTAACTAACTTAGAGTACAAACACTATAAGTGTGTAACATAAATACCACTAAATACTGCTAAATTATGCTAATCCTATTGTTTTCTATTGTTTAATTAGCACTATTTACTACTAATAGTGCAAAGTGTTGCACACTTTTAGTGTTTGTACTCTATTAGCCCCAAAAGATTTTGGTTTAAGTTATATTCATGTGTTTTCTTATGTGCAACTATTAAACAAAGAAATAGTTACTCCCAGAAACAACACATGGCTTAAAATTAGAAAACATGTATTGCACCGAAGTTGAACTGAAAAAGACAATATTTTTCCTACCCCCATGAGTAGTGTTTGTTGACAGGCTCCCCATATTAAGTACCAGAACCACAATGCCAGTCCAAGAGCCATTGAGCCATTTAGTATCATAACCTCAACGTTGCCAGTTCTATAGCAGTTATCAGAGTCGTTAGTGTCTATGACGAACCTCCACTGAGCAAAGAAGGCCATCATCATCAGAACAATAAAAGGCTGTAGACATTGGGGAAAGAAAAGGAAAATGGTGTTTCATTAAAAAGAAATCACATTTTATTTTATTTWATTTAATTAACAGTTCTTGCGCATTTCGCAAGCCTCAATTACGAGATAAAAGAAAAATATGTACAAAACATAATATAAATAAAAAATATGTATATAAATAGAATATAATGGGAAAATTGATGCATATAGAGTACAAACACTATAAGTGTGCAACATAAATACCACTAAATACTGCTAAATTATGCTAATCCTATTGTTTTCTATTGTTTAATTAGCACTATTTACTAATAAATAGTGCAAAGTGTTGCACACTTTTAGTGTTTGTACTCTAGTATGTGCCTATGTACAATTATTAAATATATATAAAGCTACAAGGTATAAATATAATATAAAACTAATGATGACTGAAGATTATCATAACCTCATAAGAATAACCTTGTTTCCAAGCACTATAGCTTATCTATATTTCTATATCTTGTATTTCATAAGTGCTATGCGGTCCACATATTCTCACTTTTAAAAGAAGTTACTTTTGGACTGACGAAAAGACTCGTTCCAAAAGTACCTTGGACAGACAAATATGTGTACTAAATCACTTACCATACAAAGGTAATGAAGAAGGCGGGTCCAGAATCTTGTGTGGAATATCTCGGAGAGGTATAGCTGGTAGTGAAGGCTCAGCCCAGTAACATTTACCAGAGGAGCGACAAAAAATAATGCAATGAATCGTGCGATTGGGTTTTTAGAGCGTATAATCTTGTCACACCCAGCTCTTCTCCAGAATTTCATCTGCCAACTGTCCGGCCAGTATCGCTTGGCTCTCTTTAATAGATATAAAGGATTTAGGACTGCATATTAGTAACATATACTTGGATTTTAGAGTGGTTTTCAAAAACCCGTGAAACAAAGTGTAATAAGTAAGGTGTAATAAATTGTAATACACCAAAAACATAAAAGAAAATAATAAAAAAATGGGGACAATAAAGTGTATTGAAGTGTAATACGTTAAAGTGTATTTCACGGGTTTTTGAAAACCACTCTACGAAGAGAAGAAATAATTGATAAAAGCAAGACCGCCACCCGGTTAGCTGGTTGGACACTGGTCTGTTGTACTTTAGGTTGTGGTTTCAAGCCTCTGCGGCTGGACTCACACTTGGAGTCTTAAAATATCTGAGTAGWAGGTGCTGCCTTTGCTCTAGAAATATATGCAAATGAATAGACCTTTGCCGTGGCTCGGATGACCACGTAAAATGGCGGTCCCTGATCTCACTTAGAGATGTCAAACATAGAGGACCACAAATTTTTTCAGTGCTGATTTGGCTTCTGTCACGTGTCACTCTCTTTAAACGAAGACATTATTATTATTATTAGTATTATTATTATTATTATCGCTAGACAAATTGATTGCTAGTGTTTGCACTTAACATGAGTGTGAAAAAGTACTATTTATGAATCGCTAATTATTTAAACAAGAAATCCAAGGATTAATTAACAAGAATCTTAAATAATTAAATAATTATACTAGAGTGCATATACCATATATTCTGTGAAACACATTGTAAGAAATTTGCGCAAATTAGTAAGTTAAGTACACCCCAGTTAGACCGTAGACTCAACRAACCTTTGCAGTAATTTGTACAACTTTTTCACAGATATTAATAATGGTAACACTCTATTGATTACTAACTATTCTTTCCCTTCGCTGTCCTTCAACTATTACGTCTTGTTGTTCCAAAGAAGACTGGTTATCACTGCTTCCATCCCTTTGATCTTGTGCACCAACAATGGGTGAAGTGCGCCCCAAACTACCATACCTCCCCAACAGTGAGGTTTCCCTGGAGACACTCTGTCTGATATTCTTCAAGTTGTGGTCTTTCAGGTTGCTCCATATGGATTCTGTGTATTTATTGATAAATTAATAGATATAATCATAAATTGTAATTGATTTTTTAAGTTGCTGGTTCAATGTGCACTTTAGGGAAGTTACATTTTTATTTGGGGGGGAGGGGGAGGGGGGACTGGGGTTTCAGGAGAGTCATCAGTAAGAATATAAACTCTTGAGGAGGGCGGTTAAACCTTTTTATTTTGAAGAAAGCCTTCGTTGTTGATTTAATACTAAGGGTGAATTTCTTACTGAGAGAAAGGGGAAGGCCTACAACCATTTTTTTAAAGATTACTGCGAATATTTTAAATAAATGTGTGTCTGTAATTTGCATAATTTATAGAGTGTATACCCCATATATCTGTAGAACAATTACCAGCTTCTAGTATATATGTAGTGCTTACAAGTATATCCAGTTATCATTATTTGCTTGCCAATTAGAACTACTAACAGGGGCGGATCCAGGATTTTGTTTTAGTTAACTCAGGGGGGGGGGGGGGGGACCAGTATTGGTTACTTCAAAGTAGGGGCACAAAGTTGGACCACCCCCTGCACCCCCCTCTGGATCTGCCCCTGACTAAGAATTAACATGGGATTGAACCAAACAAAGGAATCAGGCCTGGATCACATGAGTCATATGCTGAGCCTCATGCCCACAGAACTACTACAAATCAAAATCAGATTAATATCATAAATATAGTGGACTTACGGAAAAACACAGTGTCCCGCTCTGATGTTATAGCTTCTTGTGTCATTTCCCGATACTCGAAACGGTCCTCGGAACTATCTGCACCAATTGTGACATGGTAGGGTAGTCTGACAGGTATGCAGTGACCATTTAACAAAATTCCTGCTGTTCGTTCTGTGGGAATCTTAACACTGGCCTTGTAGTTCTTACTGTCTCTGACTGCAGGGTGTAGACAGGTGAGTTCAACTAGAACACCAGCCATCATTACCTATGTTAATTAAATATGTTGTGGCAAGTAGGGGCCGTTAAATTTATTTATTGGAAGGAGGGGTATGGGCGAGAAAAGAGGACTTAAATATATAGAGACTCTAAAATGGGGGATATTGAAATAGTTGATAAGATATTTAGACTAATATGAAACTGTCTTCAAAATGTTGGAAATAAACAAGGGCCTTGAAACAAATAGTTAAGCAGTAATTGGGGGAGGGGTGGTGAAAAAATGTTTTTTTCCCCCTACTTTCTCACTTATACCCCCTTCTGATAAATAATGAATAGYCTCTTATCAATAGCAACTTGATATTTAACAAATAGACATCAATTTTTTATGTGTCTGTCATCTTATTGACAACAAATTGCRTCATCACATTGTCAAAGTAGTATGGATCTATGAGGCGTAGCCAAGAAATTTGTAAGTTATTGCAAAAACAAGGATTGTGGTATATTCTAAAAATAATGACACATCATTTTAGAGTATTTGTTTGGGGAAGGGGAGTAAACACATTTTTTACGATGTTAAAATATAATTTACCTCATAATTGAAGCGCTCTTGATGACCATCACCACTACTGCCTGGCGTAGCAGCAGCTGCAGCCATCCTCATTGCTTCAACATTGTCAACTGTATCACCTATATCATTCAACGGGCATGGACTACAGTTAGGTCCAAAGTCCACGTACAAGACTACAGTGTCTCCAACATCTGCAAAGTAGGTGGAATCTTTTCCTGGGGCGCAAAGCCTCATGACAGGAACGTCTGTTGTGTTCTGGTGTGTGTCTGGTATGCTTGTGTAGTCTCCTTGGAGACAAGTGCTTCCAACGCAACCCATCTTTCAAGGCTGTGATCTGAAGGAGGAAAAGGGTAAGAGACCAAAAACTCTAACATACAATAATCAAAACTCGTCGCGCATTTACCAGCGACTAAGTGACATTTTCAGCCATATATAACTGGTGCTTCTTCGCAGTCCCTTTTAACAGAATTATCGAATACCATACAAGGATTTGCTTGCCTAGTATTTTATACTGCGCCGACATACGCAAACCCGGTTTACAAAATGTCGACGATGAGAGCTATAGGTGATGCGGCGAGCGATACTATAGTATGTACAGCTCTTTCCGCAACTTTCCATGCTGAGCATTTGCATTCACAGAGGGACTCTATTGAGCAGATCTAGATACATTAAAAGAAACATGCGAATAAATGTAAGTTCTACAGGCATAAAATTGCAACAGTGATAATTTAACAGCAATATTGTGATCTACAGTGCATCAMATAGATTACCTGATTTTTGAAGTTGTAGATCGACAATTTCTGAATCTCGAGCTGAACTAGATATTATTAAGTAAAAATGAGTAGTGTGATTGCAACAGTTCTCTGATATAAATGAGTCGTTTTATTTGAAGGCAGATATATTTGTATAAGTTGAAAGTATATCTTTCTAAGAATTCGTAGGGAAGTTACCGGAAGTTTACTACCATCAGGTGACTTTGTATTATAATCCTTTTGCATTCCATAGCAGACCTTTCTTTGAAATCCGAGAAAGTAAAAATCCCAAAATAAACTCAACCCTGTCAGAAGGAAAGTAAAACTCACGATTTTCGATTTATTTGTTTACGATCAGAGCTAGAAACGTTAAACTATTCAACTCGTGGTTTGTGTCTTGTGACCGTAATCAGCGTCTGTCTTGTGGAGCGCGACTGCCAGGGGAAAACCCTTTTTACTACTCGCGCGAAAATTCAGTAGCTGTTTATATTTATTCCTCTTTCAAAGCCTTTTATTCGAATTACATTTTACTTTCTATTTCCTCCGTAAAAAAGCTATTAAYGTATTCTTAAAATGTTGTTTAATGTTTTTATTAAATATAAGAAGGTATATAAAATTGACCGATCAGAACGTGGGTCATATCTCAGTTATTCAACATAATTATAACTATAAGCTTTTGACAAAGGATACATTTTTTGTAGACCTGTGGTCTCGTGCAAGACTTGACTAAAATCAATGCACAAATCTAAATCCAGAAAGTTGAAGTCATTCATAGACGTTGTTGGTCTGTCACATGAGTTGGGAGCGGCAGATGGACTGGGGACTCCCCTAACTAATACTTGATGTCATAACACGTGATCACTGATGTCGTATAATCTATCAGCATTTACCATTTAAATAGTATTTCCTCAAAAACAGAGATTAAACCAATAATTGCCTCATTGTAGCCATGCAGAGATTTGCTATGATAATTTATCTTTTGCATTGTACGTTTTTTTTTTTTTTTTTTGACCTCGAGGTTGAAATAAAGCTTTCTAAGTGCTACTACGACGAAAATCGCTCAAACTTGGATTCAGCTGAAACTTCCTAAGAATACTCTTTAAAGGTCCAATAATCACTGTATGAAGTGTTTTCTCGATATTCAGGACGAAAGTATGATATTTTTACGATTATTTTTTGGAGTCTGTGACGTCATACACTCAACATCGAACATCGCTCCATACATTTCTTTGTAGTTTATGATCAAAATATCAGTAGTAAAGGGAGAAAGAAATACCCAAACACCCCAAAATATAAATTATAGTCACAAGTAATGTGAAATAAGCACATTAGCCACCCTTTGGGCTTCATAGGAATAAAATAAATTAAGGATTTATATACAAAGAAATATATGTAGCAATGTTTGATGTTGAGTCAAAGTTCACTGATATCGTCAATTATCAAGACCGAGGCTGTGTTATCTGCCGAAGCCGAAGGCTTATACATTTTGTAAACTGCAAAAAAAATTAACATGAACCGTTTGAATTATAGAGACAAGCATTATGAACGCCATGATCAGTTACGTGAAAAACGCAAAATTYTTAATTCAGAAATATTTCGAGAATTCTTAATAAAGTATATGAAAATAAGTTAAGGATTCCTTAAATAATTGTTTTTGTACATAATTCTGGAAATAAATACACATAATGAATAAAAACAAAGCTACCACAACGTGACCTTGAGTGAACTTGAACCCCTCCCTGAACAAAATACTGGATCCGCCCCTGAATATCTATCATTTTAGTATTGATTATTTGTCACATGAGTTGCAAGTGTTTACACTGGGGATTCCCCTAACCCTTGCATGTTGTCATACCATTCAATGTTGCATCATCTAAGTATTCAAAAAAAAATTAACACATTTTTCAGTGAGCAATACTTGCAAGGATAACAATTTCAAAATTTCTAATTTGCAATATTATTAATTAAGCTTTATTGTAAGTAAAATCAATTGAAGCATCATGATCAGTCACATGAATACAGAAAGTCTTGATGGGAGATTCCCTGAACACTGCTGCTGCGACATACTAGTGAAATATTGCAACATCAATCACCATACCAAGGGCGGCAGAACAGGGGGGCCCCCACAAAATATTGGTTCACATGAAATATAAATGCATAGATTTGACTTTTATTACTGTTATTAAGTTTTTGTTGTGATTTTTGGCTGTGCCCCCCAAAGATTTTTTGCAGTGCCCCCTCCCCTCCAAAGATTTTTTGCAGTGCCCCCCCTAAAGATTTTCAGCTTCCGCCGCCCCTGCATACAACTAACATATTTCAAAATAGTCAGAGCATATCAATGAGGCTGCATTTACATATAGGTACTCTGATAGGAGAGGTCTTTTTCTGCTCTCGGTTTTGGTTGTAGGTCGGGGGAGGTCAGCCAACCCTACTGAGGGGATCAAGAAAAAACAACCTCTGCTTGCTGTGTAATTCTATGATAGGACAATGAAACCCAAGTACAGTAAAAACCCGCATAAAAGAACAAGTGGGTTAAGAATACCCAGCCTGAATTTGGGCGTTTTAAGTACCATGTGAATAAGAACATAATCAGCCTGAAAAATTAAAAAGTGTTCTTAAAAAAATAATAAGATCAATATTACCAGTAGCAGACTCCAAGCCTGACTTGACAATAATTTATTTTTCTACTGCTTTGATACAGTAATTATTGCAGTCAAGATTTTTTTGATAACATTTTTGAACTTACACATTGATATCATCTACATGTATTGGTAGTCTATATAGTAATACTGTATTTATTTTAGAAACATTTATTTTAAGAACACCGTAAGAACACCTTCAGGCTGATTTTCAGTAAACACCCGTTAAATAAGAACAAAATCAGCCTCAACTCCAAAAATGGGTGTTCTTTTATGCGGGTTTTTACTGTATTCTTTATTCCAGTAGGTACTGTATTGCATCAGCTACCTTGACCTCACTTCCTGTTATGATGGTAGAATGAAAGTGTAATATTTCATAATATTGCATTCATTATGTCTGCCCGAGATGAGAGGGGAGCAGGTTAGATTCAGGACGAAAAAAATATTAAATTCGTGAGTTCATTGGGTGGATCTTAAATATTTTTCAGAGAATGAAGGGAGAGGCCAACGTTTAAAAAAAATATATTTCACTTGACACCGGCCCCTCTTGCATACATAATTAGCATATACCAACTTGTGTACTTCCTAAGAACGKGCGCGCTCATTGGTTAATTGGAGGTGAATGTTGTACGATATTCACCTCTGAATTTCGGAATATTGAGTCGGCAACAAAATGGCATCTGCCCGCAATCGTTTTGCTACAATTTCCGATGAGGAAATTGAAAAAATGAAAGTAAATGCCATTCCTATCAATACTAAAAAGGCAACGAAGTATGTCCTAAAAGGTTTGCTAAAAGTTTTGCTAAAAGTTTTGCGTGAAATTTGTCACGCAAACTAAAAGTTTCTGTTTTGTTTGTTTTTAATGAATTATTGTATATAAAAATAAAATACTCTGTACACAAGTTGGTAAGACAATGCTAAAACGACTCGCGTCTCGGTAAATATTCCCCGATATTCACTTCGCCTTCGGCGAATAATTGCTAATTAGCTAAAGGTTAGCTGAGAGGTGAATTTTGTTTCAGCCAATCACAACGCGTTTGGCTGTTGCTATCGTAACCCAGATTTTTGCTTATTTTTCTGTTTTCTTTTGACTAAAATGTAATATACGTGGCTACAAGAAGCAGAAATATGGAAAGGAAGAATTAAAAGAATTTCACTTTCCCGCTACGTTTGTTCTTTTTTTCAAGCTCCAAAATTTTTTCAAAGTGGCCTCCCTGCTGGTCGCCTCCCTGTGGATGAGAATAGTACTTAGCATCACAATGCATTGTGGGGTTTACGCCCAAACAAGCCCAGACAAGTCTGCCCAGACATACTTTCAGACGAAGGGCTTCCTTCAAGGAATTTCCTGTTCTTTTTAGCTTTAAAGTTCTGAATTTAAAACACGATGTGGACTTAAACAATTATAGCCATAAAGATGGGATGAATTTTCTGGTTCTAGTTGATTTGGTGCCCTCTTTCCTACGAGATTTTCTTTCTTAGGAAGAGGCGAACTTCCACAACAACTGAAGAAAAGAACGACAAGCTCACAAGACAAGAGTTCCTGTGTCCGCCAAGGTTTACATTGTAATACCTCAGAGTGTGTGATGTTTTTCTGTGAGGTAGATGTTCACTGGTGCACTAAAAGTTGTTGGATGTAAGCCATAA